GTTTCCCCATTCACCTCTCTCCACTCCTATGCCCTCTGGTAATCACCATACTGTTGTCTGTGTCTATGGGTTTTTTTCTTAACCCCTTCACCTTTCTCACCCAGCCTCCCAACCCCCTTCCCTCTAACAGCCATCAGTCTATTTGGTTTGTTCACTAGGTTCCACGAATAAGTGAAATCATACCGTATTGATCTTGCCCTGGTTTCATGCTGCCTCTGGGGACAATAAAAGCCTGGTTGAAATACAACCACCTCGGAGCAGAAGGCAGGGTAGGGCTTTGCACTTGCCTATTAACCAGAGGCACCCTCCAACCCCATCTCTGCTCCCCTTGTCTGTAGTTTATCTGTCATCTTATGGGCCCCTGGGTGGTGGTTGTCAAAGGTGAGGGCATTGGTAAAGATGCCTACCCACCTTCTCCTCACTGGGGCCAGCCCGTGTGGGAAGGCCACCTCCTTGATGGGTCCTTTGACATCTGGGGCATGGCGACCAGTCCTATCGTTTTTCACCAGTCTGGATCAGGGCCCTTCTCCCACTCCTCTCTTAAAATCCTCAAGTTACCTACTTCTCATTTTAACAATTTTGTTAAATAAATGAATTTTTAAATATTCACTTCTTGAATTAAGCAAGCAAGCATATGGCATAAAATACGAGATGTTTCCTTCCTGAAGCTTCTTCCTTTCCCTGGAGTCAAGTTCTATTACAACTTTCTTCATTTTGAGATTTTAAGTCAACTGTTGCCCTTCAGTTTCATCCCGATCCTCCCCAGCAGAACTGAGCACAGCACACCTGGCTGGGCGACATCCTGAGATGGACATGAGCTCATGCAGGTAGGGATGGGAACAGTGTGCTTCAGCATCGCATGTGTGTGACCTTGGGAGTGTCAGGGACCTGAATCTCATGCATGTAAGTGGTAACCACACAGTATCCAATGACATGTAATTTTTTTTTCTAGGTGTAAGGGCTACAAGAACAGGCAAAAGAGGAAGATAGAGGAACTAGAAAGTGAGAAGGAAATTGACCTCACACATCCCTGCATTTGGGTCTCAGGGATGCTTTGTGAGACAATGGCTTCCACGTGCCTCTGAGGTTCTTAATGGGTTTGGCAACCTGTCTCCAGTACCAAGGCCGGCACAAGGCCCATTGCCATGGCTACAGCCAGCTTCCCTGTGCATAGAAACCCTGTGGTTTCACAAGGGGTTGCCACCCCGGGCAGGAGTGCTCCAGATGCCGTGGCGGGGGAGACACTGCAGTCTGCACAGCAAGCAGGGTGGCACCTGGCTTTAGATCCTCAGTGAGAGCTACTAACACCTCTATGAATTTTTCATTTTCCTGATGATCTAATTCCTTTTAAACATTTTTTTTAATGATGATAAACACCTACTGTTTGTTTTACTGATTGATGCATTCATTGCTTGATTCTCGTCTTTGTCCTGAAGATTGAACTTGTAACCTTAATGTAACAGGACAGTGCTCTGAGCTACCCGAGCAAGACTGTCTTATTCCTCACAATTATGCTACAAACATCTTACTGTTCTTTTTACACACTTGCAAACTCACAAAAGATCATGCTAATACGTTAAGTCCATGACCAATGATCTTCATTTCTTTTTTTAATAAGGATTTCATTCATTAGAGAGAAGGGGAGGAAGAGAAACATCAATGTGTGGCTGTCTCTCATGCGCCCCCAACTGGAGACCCAGTCCGCAACCCAGGCATGTGCCCCGACTGGGAATTGAACCAGCAACCCTTTGGTTTGCAGGCCAGCACTTAGTCCACTGAGCAACACCAGCCAGGGCTAATTATCTTGACTTCAAACCTTTTCATTTCAACATGGAGGCTTTTCGTTCTTGTATTTTAATTTCAGAAGAGGAATTAGGATGCAGAGGCAGGGCCTTACTTAGCAGAATTCAAGTCCCGCCTCTCCTTCCAATCCACCAGTTCCACCTGGGCATTTAAGAGTTAATGCCATAATCTCTTAACAGGGTACAACATAGTAACAAGCCCAGAATATTCTAGACCAGTCAGAATGGACATGTGAATGGCCTCTCCTGGCCTGTGCTGGGTGGAGATGCCCGAGAGCCAGGGCATTTGGCTCTGTGACACTTTTGGTGACGGGCTGCTTGGCTGGGGCCTTCTTACACCATTGACAGAAGAGTGAGCCAAGGGTCAGGGTCCTGAGTTCTTTGTGCTGTCACCTCCTTGCTGCAGGGAACTCTGAATTCTCAACTGCTTAAGTGTGCTATTCCTAGAAAGGATGTAACACCTGGAGACGGTCATCTTGTCTGGGCAGCAGTCTGCTACAAGACTGCAAAGGCCCCCTTTTTCTTCTAAAAAAATGATTTGAGAGAGATGAGATAGAAACATCAATTTGTTGTTCCACTTATTTAAGCATTCATTGTTTCTTGTAAGCACCCTTACTGGGGATTTCCTACCACCTTGGTGTATTGGAATGACACTAACCAATGCAGCTACCTGGCCAAGGCACAAAAGTCCCTGCTTTTCATGCCCCCAACATCAACTCAGCTGGGAGAAGGCCACATAGAAGCCAACATGGAGACCTTCAGGTGTGGAGCAACTCAGCTTCCCTGCCGAGAATCTTGCTGCCTCAGCATGTCACCCGTTTCTCCGTAAACCCCCAGTGACTGCAGAATGTTGAACAGATAAAAAGCGACGCAATCTGGACAGCCATGGTTAATCCACTGTCAGGGCCAAAGCAGCCACAGAAATCAAGAGTCCTGTGCACTGGGCACACCACCGCCCAAGAACCTTGCCACTTCCTAATGCTTCCTGGCCTGCCTGGCAGTGAGGGTACTTCAGGTGGTGGAACCAAAGAACCAGAGGGGGAGGAATTTTCTTTCTGTTTTCTGAAGGTGGCGGCCACTGTCCTGTACTAAGGCCCGACTGTTCTGTTGAGGCCTGAGAAAGCTGTACCCGAAGGGCAGGCGGTGGTAATGTGGCTGCTCACCATGGGTTCGGAAGGGCCTGGAAAGGCCTCTGGGGTCAGTAGGGCATAGAGATGGCTCCAGTTCTGCAAGGCGGGCCAGGAGCAGGAAGACAGGGCTTGCCTTCTCCGAACGGTGCTGGGCAGGCCAGGAAAGAGACAGCGATGACTGGTTTCAGAACCCCTGTGTGGGCTCATTCACTGGACTCCCTTTCCCTTGGGTTGTCCTTTGGCTACGGCAGGTTTGTCTCAGCTGTTCCGAGGGGTTCAGGATCCAAGGTGCTCTTTAATGACAAGAGCGGTGGCAGGCCACAGGGAAATGTTCAGGGGGATGTTCAGGAGGAGAGCCAACACTGAAGGCCCTGGGCTTGGAAAGAAGGCAGCACTTCCTTCAAGGATGGGCCCTTCCACCCTGTTCTGGAAGACGACTTCCTCAAGTGGAGAATCCATTATCAGGGGATCAAGGTGCTTTCACCCTGTTCCTGGGAAGAAGTCCCCCTTCAACAGGAGCAAGTGAACAACAGCTATGTTCTTGGCACTGTAGAAAGCAGGGACTTCATAATAAAAGTCACAGGCAGAGAGGTTTGCAGAAGGAAATATTGGGAGTTGGTACTGCATATACAGATTAAAGTGCTCAAATCTGAGGACGCACATGAAGGGTTTCCTGGAATGAAGGTCAGCCCTCACGGTTACCACACCCAGCAGGGCAGAAACCATGGAAGAACCCCCAGTTGAGATCATACACATTGTCCCCTAGAAAACTCTTGAATCCAGTCTTTATGAACACTTGTAGAGTCTGAATAGTATTTGTTAACTATTTATGAAATGGTCTGGTATGCCCCACCCTACAAGAACTAAGCAACCTGGACTGCGGGGGCTTTGCCTACCTTACCTGTCATTACGACTCCGCTGCATACAAATTCCAATGCCCAAAACACGACAGGCCCCCCCCGGTGTTCACGGGATTAATGGGCTCCCCCAGGATGGACTGTCAGGAACCGCAGGAAACCTGCTCTACCTACCACACAACTCCCTCAACCCCTGGTTCTAAAGGGTGGTCCCCTGACGACCTGCACCAGAATCCCCTGGGAGCCGGTTAAAAATGCAAACTCTCAGAACTCACCCAGACCCACTCAACCACCTCTGTGGGCAGAGCCCGCAATCTTGCAGGTGGTCCTGACACACACGGAGGATGAAAAACCACTGTTCTTAATGGCATTCACAGGGAGTTCTCCAGTGAGGGTCTGAGGAATTGTGGTGGAAAGCTAATTGATCGTACATATCCTGTTAGGCTCTAGAAAGAATTCACACCGAAGATTATAAACCACTCTTTTGTTTGGACCAAGAACTAACCTTTCTAACCCCTCTCAGGAAGTGCAAGACCCCCAGGGGCCCTGCTGGCCCCAGGACTCTTCACTGGAGGATAAGGCGGGCCAGGTCAGAGGGCAAAGCCCAGCCGGCCCAGCACCGCAGTGCAGAACCATGTGCTCTCCGCCAGGCAGGTACAGACCAGGTCCTTCTGCCGCACTGGTTCACAAGCACCTTGAAGACAACAGCTTGTTTCTTGAACAGGTTTGCAGCAGTGGGTGCTCAAAAGCCATCCTTAAGAGTACACAGAGGGGCTGGCTAAGCTGCACCCTGATGGACACTCTATGTCACCATAAAAAATTGGGCCTCTCCGGGAGGTGCTGGGGCACTGTCCACCCTTTCTGAAGAACCTCTACATCTCTCTTCACCTTGGCCGTGGAAATAAACAGCAGGTGAGGGACAGTCAACAGTATGTTCCTTAGGCAGCAGGAAGGTGGTCGGTCAGCCAGGAAGCTCCAAGTCACTGAACTGTAACTGCTGCCCAGGACCAGATGGGGCTGAATATTCAGGTTCTTCACAGAACACGTGAAGAAACTGGCCTAGGAATGCAGAGAATGGACTAGAATCCAGAAATGACGTTCCGTTTACTCGCTGAAAAACAGGAACGTTAGGCCTCCAGGATCAATTTCCTCCAAGCTCCCCAAACTCCCTCCCTTTATTTTTCCGAAATAACAACACAGTGAGAAACACGTTTGTACAAAAACCACATATTATTCCCCCGCACAAAATCGAGTGGCTGTGTTACAGGAATGAAACCAGACCCAAGACATGAAAAGAGAAAGCCGCCACTTACACGGAAACACACACGGCTAACGATTCAGGTATCCTGTAGGATTACTACCAGCATAGCAAAAATATTTCCACCTGGACCTTTTAAATTTGAAAGTGATCGCATTAAAAACCTGAGGTTACAGGGACCACAGTATGAACCAGAATTTCATTTTCCTTCTAAGACCCCAGTGGAAAAGGTTAAGTATTTGGAATGAGTTTCCTTTTGGAAAAACCAGCAGGAAACAGAAACAGCCCTGGCCACTGTCAGAGGCACGGGGGTCTTTCTGGAGCCATCGCATTGGAAGTAAACTCCGGGAGGGGCAAGCTCATCTCTCCTCCCGGAGTCCTGAACACAAGCGCAAAGGAACAAGGTCGCCTTGGTTCCAGTGTTCCGAGGGTGACCAGGGCCACCTGGGTAGAGGCAACACCTGAGGGTTTGAAAGGCAAATCTTAATTGTGGTTTTATTATTATTATTTTTTGCTTTCTGATATTAAGGAAAAAGTTCTAAGGTGTTTTACAAACACCGACCTAGACCCTTTCACATGTAAAGCTTTATAAAATATATAGAAAAGATACTCCAAAGATGTCTCACTTGGCATTCTCCATGAAACTGCCGCTGCAGGCTGTGAAGTGACGAGGTCGGGTGCTCTGGGCTCAGCTCTACCAGAAATGCCCTTTCCACACCCACGGAAGGACAGAGGGGAGGTGACAGGGACCAGAGGAGAAAACCCAGAGCTCTCAAGTCACTCATCAGCAGGGCTAGAAATGGGCTCAAATTAAGGCATTTCTGTGGCTCTTCCTCTGGAATAGCATTCCGCTCTCTCGGCCCACGAACCCCGGCCCTTGAAGCATGATGCTCCGACTGCCAAGGGAGCTCCTCAATACACACCCAGCAGCTCCTTGGCAGCCTTGTGATAGACGGAATGTGAGGTCTCAGACAGGAAGGGAGAAGGAATGAAGCCTCCGTCCAGCCCCACCTGTCAGATCCCGTCCCAAGCCAGAAGTACCGCTTCACTGAATTCCACGTGCCCTGGCTGCTGCAAGAGGTAGTGAGTGTACCTGCACCCCGCCGTCCGAACCAAGTTCCGTGAGCTAAAATGTTCAGCACTATCTACTTACTTTTTTTTTTCTTTTTAAAGTTTTTTTTTTTTAAGGGAGGGAAAAAAAGAATGCATACAAGCAGTAAATAGTGGGCTAGATTCATTGGCTGGCCACTGCCCTCGGCCCCTACAACCTTCCTGGTTAGTCCTGGGAACTGAGGAAGGCCTCTCTAAACAGCAGTCCTCAGAGCCCACGCTGCCTTCAGACAGACACAAACACCAGCCCCAATCTGACAAACCGTCTGCATAGACCTCCAGGACCTGTGGGCCTGAGCAGGCGTCTGTGCCGATGCTGCTGCCCTCCCCACCCGGGTGCTGACGGGGCACCTTCCACCAGGCAGGGTGGAGGCCCGTGCAGTCCTCACTAGGGAGAACCATCAGCGCAGGCCCTTTCCCCACGACTGTGGATTCAGGCGCATCTGCGTGTGGCAAAAGCTTCATGAAACGTCACCATCAGCACCATTCTTAGCTCAGATAAGCAGAATAAGGTCACTTATAATGCCTTAAGGTTTGTCCCCGCTGGCTATCCCTTCTGCCCATCACCATTTTTTGGTTCCTATTAACTTCGGATGCTCTCCTTTAAAGCAAAAATAACCAAAAGATGGGGGGGGGGATATGATTATAAAACATCCACAGAGGCCTAAGACAAAGTAAAAAACTACAGGAGAGCAAAAATGATAAAGACATAGAATATCCACACCAGGACAGGGAAGACGCAGCTGATTTTGAGAATGACCAGGGCACACTGTCACTAAGGCACCCCCGAGCGCTGGCCGAGGACCTAACTCGAGGGGCGTCAGAGCATGGGCAGGGGCGGCAAGAGGAGTGGGGAGAGACGGGACACGAGCTTGGGGATGCGAGAAGAAAAACCCTGAAAGAAACCCAAGGAAGCCGAGGAACGTGAGTCTTGCCATCCCCACCCCAGCTGGTGGCGCCGGGTGTGGACATCCCCAGCATCTTCCAGGCTAGGGCGCTGCGGAGGCAGGTGGGCCTGAAGTAGGAGGTGGAGGGACTCCATCTGCCGGTGGTGGCGGCTGCTGCTGTGGCGGAGGGGGATCTGAAAACACATCCAAGAGTCACTTGTCATTGTGGAAACACAGGGGCTTGGAAAAGAAAAAGGACACAGAAAGTCATCTTCTCCACGGCAGGCAGCCAGTGCAACCAGGGAGGCGTTGCTGAGCCGTGGTCGGTGCGGGCCGGGCCGGGCCCACCTGAACTCCCAGGTCCCCCTGCTTCTGCCGCTGCTCCCAACCCAGGTGTGGCTGGGGTGTGGGAGGTGTTTGAATCTACGCCCCCCAAGACCCACCTCTTCCATGAATTACTCCAGACCTTCTCAGAGCTTAACTGCTTTTTCATTTTATGTACGTTAACAGGCTCTCCAGTTTTAGTTCTTCGGTTAAGCTCTTTCCTGGGCAAGTTCTGTGTCTCTTCTCTCTCTCACTGTGCTTAGACTAGCTGGACACAAAATGGCTTATCTGTCTTGGCCAAGGCCAGGGGACTTCCCCTCAAGGCAGCTGCTGACAGGCTGGCCAGCCCTGGGCAGCACCGCCCCGTGCCAGCACTGCCCCGTGCCTGAACTGCAGTTCTTGGATTTTTGGCCAAAACTGGGTCAGGTCCTGAAGGGAATGTTAGTATGAGTGTCTAGGGCTCCTTCCTGTTTCAACTTCAGCTGCTTTAGCATACAGAGGAGCCCTAGAGATCATTTAATGTTTTTTTTTAAACCTCAAAATTTTGCCAGAAATGAAAACACATGAAACGAGTAATTAAAGTGAAGCCTCACTTATTTACGAGTCAGTTCGCCCACCCCTCCCCGCAGGAGGTTTCCATCCAACCACCAAGGCTCTGCAAGGCATTTAAAGCCCACTGCTCCGAGCCCCTGTGCGGCCTTTCAGTGGAGAACACTAAGGCCCGAGGAGGGAAGCCCTCGCCCATGGAGCCTGACCGCCACCCGAGAGCCAAGTTGGCAGCTCAGAAGCCCCGAAACCCTCATTTCTGGAAGGAAGAAAGAGGGCAAGGGGGACTTACAACCCGTCCCCCTATTCTCAAGGTGCTCCACTGAGAGCCCATTGGGATCACAAAGGATATGACAGTGGCAGAGAGCAATGACATCATTTCTGCGACAGGGATGGCAAACTGGCCAACTCTCTTGGCAGGCTGGCATATTGGTGTGTTGCCTGGAAGGTGGCAGCACGTTCTTGCCAAGGAAAGAGGGTGCCTGCTAACCTGCAGCCTCTAACCACCGACTCCAAACAGATCACACTTTCTTCTATTACCGTGACCCTACACACACACCCAGCAAAACCGCCGTCTTTCTTCTGTGCACCCAGCGTGTCTCAGCTCCTAGGGGTCTCGACAGGACGGGCAGAGCCTCGACTCTACCCACCCACGCAGCCTGCCTCCCGGCCCTGGGACGGTCTGCAGGGCCTCGTGGCCTTACAGGAAACCCTATGCTACCATCCAGCTGTGCACTTCGCATTTTCCCACTGCAGCTCTGGGAGGCCGGATTCTCTTGCATCCTGGCTCCCTCTGCTGTAAATGGGAGCTAGCTCCTCGGCACATCCATTAACTTCTCAAAAAACAAGGCAGAGCCTTGAAGCAACTGTCTGGAGGCCAAGATTGGAGCAGAGCAAGGGCTCACTGGGAGAAATGGCCTGGCTGCCCACACACTGTCAGACCGACTGTTCGGCAGCACCTGTGCCTTCTCCACTGAGCCCACTGGGTCCTCACACCCTTCACAACACAGCCGCTGAAAACTCCTTCCTTGGTCTAAGCAGCCCCCACCAATGTGTCAGAGTGGCTACAAGAAACCACTTCGTTATTCCTGTCTTACACTGATTTCCTGTTCTTTCCTTCTTACCCACTACTTTTGAACCCTGTATTGATAAAAAGCTCCTACAGAAAAAATAACCACCAGCAGCTCAGTAGTTTACTGTGACTCAAACCGGACAGGCTCAAACAGGCAGGAGTGGCGAGGAGTGTCCTTTCAGCCTCCCCAGAGCTGGGGCTCACAAGCGCACGCCGGGGAGGCCACAGTGCATGAGCCCGACTGCTGGAGGGACTGTGTACTCATCATCCAAGCGACAGGGAGAAATCTGAGCCCATCGGGGGTGCTGAAGAGCACAGCCAAAAACTGACATTCTGGAACCCACTGCCACAGGCTGCACTGGTCTGGGGACCTGCCGAACCAGAGACGAAGCCTCCCCCCTCCCCTGTCCACAGCCTTTCCGGAGAGACCGTTCCCTGGGCAACGCATCCCCCCACATGCTACTTACACATGCCGTTAGGTGCCGTGAGGGTTACCCGGGGTCCCAAGATGTTTCCCGGCATTGGCGGCATACCAGGAGGGGGAGGGCCACCCCCGGGGGGGTGGATGTTGGCTGTAACGGTGGGAATCATGCGGCCTGGCATGGGCTGCCCTGGCATCATGGAACCCGGACCTGGCATCTGACCTGTAGAGGGAGATTTAAAGGCCTAAGGTAAGTGTGCTGGGGAGAAAGGGGTCAACCACCACCCAGGACTGTTAAGTGTAAACGAAAACCTAGCTCTCCAAAAGACCTGAAACGCCAACACAGCTGTGTCTTCTTCAATAACCTCTATGCCCACGTAAAGAATTTTTTCTGGGGGGTGGGAAGGATAATGGAGCAGGTTAGTGGAGTGAATGACTACCCTAAATCCTGGCAGGTAGCTGTAAGATGTGATTCCAAAAAAAAGCATCCTAAAAAAAAGCAGTCGCTCAGGTCAGTTTGGACGAAGAGTGAATTCTCGAGTACCTTCCCGAGGATCCCGAGTGCCACGCAGAGACCACAGGGGATGGAGGGAGGGTGCTATTGGCAAGTCGGTGCCCCACCCGTGGAGCACAGCCAAAGTCAAGACCGAGCTTCACCCACACGCTTCAAGGGGAGGTGCACCCCAAAGGGTTCTGGTCACTACTGTGAAATCACCATTCAAAAGGGATTCTGACCGCAATCCCCAGGTCCTGGTCACAAAAGAAATCTCTCCCTGTCCCCCACCACGAAGGCCCCTCAGCCCTGGAGAACCAAAGGGGTGGGGTGGGAGATGGAGAGAGTGTACAAGACAACTTCTTCATCTCCTCCTATGGTTTTGGAATTAATGACAGGAGACGCTAGACGCAGGAACAGTAAAATACCTTCTGCACTCAGCTTCGCACTGAGCCCTCAGCATTTCAGCAAACGTTTTCTGTAACAAGCCAGACAATGAATATTCAGACTCTGTAGGCCATGCAGTCGCTGTCACTGCTGCTCACCGTTCTTTGCCTTTGCAGCTTGAAGCAGGCAGAGATGCTGTGTCCCCACACGCCTTTATTTATGGACTCCGAACTCACGCAACTTTCATGTGACACCACTATTCCTTCCCTTTTGAGTTTTCCTCAGCTACTTTGTCTGTATAAAACGTTAGCCATGGCCCATACAAAAACAGGAGCTGGGCCAGTCTGGCCTACAGGTTCAAGTTTGCTAATCCTACTCCAGTACGATGGTGGATGTTTGTTAGTCTTTGAGCTCAGTGGTTTGGCTGCTGGACTGTTTTTTTGTTTTGTTTTTAAAGACTTTATTTAGCCCTGGCTGGCGTAGCTCAGTGGATTGAGCCTGGGCCTGCGAACCAAAGGGTCGCTGGTTGATTCCCAGTCAGGGCACATGCCTGGATTGCAGGCCAATTCTCAGCAGGGGACGCATGAGAGGGAACCACACATTGATATTTCTCTCCCTCTCTCCTTCCCTTCCCCTCTAAAGATAAATAAGTAAAATCTTTAAAAAATTTTAAATTTATTTAGAAAGAGGGAAAGGGAGAAAGAGAGGCAGAGAAAAATCAATGTGTCGTTGTCTCTCACATGGCCCCTACTAGGGACCCGAACTGCAACCCAGGTATGTGCCCTGACTAGGAATCAACCAGTGACCCTTTGGTTCGCAGCCCACACTCAATCCACTGAGCCACACCAACCAGGGTGCTGGGCTTAGTTTTAAAGAGCTATAGACAAAAGAGGGTAGTTCAGTAGGCACACACCAAGGGTATAGCCCTTTCATGTAAGGACAGCTACACTCTGCAGAATGAGGAGAAAGAATCGCTGCAGCTTTTTCTTGTGTTAAAATCTAAGGACTTTACTATCTATGTAAGGTCAACTGTATGAGACTCAGCGTAGACATTTAGACCTGGGGTAGGTCAGCTTAGGGTTTCCCAAGGCTGTCAGCCCAACAACTAAAAAAACCCCTCCTGTCTCTTGCTGGTGAGTCCAGAGCCTTCTGAACAACACCATTTTCCTATCTTCTGGCCACGAGCAGGGCAGCAATGTCACTGGGACACGCGTGCTCAGGGCATGAGCAACAATGGCTCCTTGGGAGAGGTGGCAGCAAACGGAAGGAGCACAGAGAAGTCCTGCTGGTGGGGCCGTGTGTGGAGAGACACGTCTCAGGGAAGCACGGGGCAACAAGAGGGAATGATGTCCCGTGCCGCCCAGAGGTCCCGCGGCCTCAGCGCCGGTGTGCCTCGGGCACTGTGCTCAGAGAGCCGACGGGGAGGGGAGGAGGCTGTCTCGCTTGAGCCTGGGCCTGCGCTTGCCAGGCAGTGGCAGTCACCTCACTGAATCCTCCAGGTTGGTAGGAAGACAAGCCCAGCTTCAAGATCAAGAACTCAGTGACAAGGGGTCTGTCACCTGGCCCAAGTCACAGGAACTAAGACTAAGCTGAGATGCAAACCCAAGTGTGTCTGACCCCGAGGCTCATTCTCTCATTCAAGCCAGCCTGCCTGAGAGGGGGATCGTTCCTCGGAAAAGCAGATTTCTAAGGCTCAAATTTGACTCGGGACAGTACTTAAGACAATAGGGGGAAACTACAGATCAATTTCTTGTACAGCAACTCCTATCCTTTCGAAATCTAACCATCCTTGTGGCTCTGCTGGTCCGATATAGGTCTCACCATTTTTAAGTGGATGACAATGTCTGAGCATTTCTATTAGTTCTTACTAAACATGAAGCAGCCTGGCCCTCATGAGCCTGAAATGCACAGGAGCAGGCCATAACCAAACAAAATAAAAAGCGTTTACAGCCCTGGCCTGGTAGCTTAGTTGGTCAGTGTCATCCCGATACGCCAAAATCGCAGGGTCAATCTCCGGCCAGGGCGCACACCAGAAGCAACCGATGAGTGCGTAAGGAGGCGGGACAACAAACAGGTGTTTCTTTCTCTCTCTAAAATCAGTAAGTAAAATTACAAGCAAAGTGCTTCTGTATATGTTTTCCACTTTACAAAACCCAGGTATTTCCTTCCCCGGTGGAGAGGTGAGAGAGAGGGCATGGGAGAGCCATGGATTCTCACAACAGCACCATCGGAGCCTAAGTGGTGGGAGTCTGACCTACATACAAGCTTTTTCCCCCATTTTTTTAAAAACAGCAGGCATCTGAAGCCTAAAAAATGGAAAGGGTTGCTAAATTTAGGTGCAGACTAGTGGAAAAATCCCTCATACTCTCTCAGGTTTATTAGCTCTTTTACTAACGTGTTACACCCATCATGCCTAATGGAAGATTATTTAAGGATTTAATTTTACTGTTAGGATGGCAGAGGCAGGTGGGAGAACAGGAAACCCGGAGAGGAGGAAAGGGAACTGTGAATTTCTAACCTCCCACCTCGCGTTCCCTTGGCTGAGTCCCCCGCAGAGCGGAAGCAACCTGATCCAGGCCAAGTGAGGGGAAGCCCGAGCTCCTCCGAGACCGATGCTCCCCAGCGGCTTCCGGCACGGCTGCCACAGGCGCTCTTTGTGGACGACCAAGCCCTCACTGCTCTCTTTGTGAGCGCAACCTGCTACTCCGGAAAGCGGCTCGGCTGCCCCGTTACCCCTCAATGCAGGCAGGACTGGAGGCGCCACAGATAAGAAAACCTTGGCCGAGGGGATGAGCTATTCCTTCCTGCTTTCAGTGTGGGCTGGGGTGCTGCGAGGACTGGCTCCCCCTTCCCGTGAGCACTCTTTCCCACGGCTAGGGCTGTGGAAGTGGGTCCACCCTGCGGGCTTAAAAAGCCAAGTGCCTAATGCCTTGGGTAAATACCCTTGAACTTCCCTGGCTGGATAGCTCAACTGGTTAGAGCATCATCCCAACACGCCAAGGTTGTGGGTTTGATGCCTGGTCAGGGCACATACAGGCATCAACCAATCAACGTATAAATAAGTGGAACAAATCAACACTTCTCCGCTCCCCTCTTCCCTTCTCTCTCGAAAATCAATAGAAATTTTTAAAAACTTCCTTGAACTAATATTTTAATAATTGATGCAAAATGTTCTAGTTTTTAAAAAAAATTTTTATTTTATTTATCTTTAGAGGGGAAGGGAAGGAGAGAAGAAGAGAAACATCAATGTATGGCTGCCTCTCGTGCGTCCCCTGCTGGGAACTGGCCTGCAACCCAGGCATGTGCCCTGACTGGGAATTGAACTGTGATCCTTTGGTTTGCAGGCCCAGGCTCAATCCACTGAGCTACACCAGCCAGGGCAAAATGCTCTAGTTTTATCAGTAAAACATCACCTCTATCCGTGTCTGAGTTTTCATCAAATCAGATCAATTCCTATTCTAATTTTTAACATTTCTAACAATTCTTATAAATCAACAGTAAGGAAACCAGAGAGACCTGAACTGGTGTGTCCTTCTCCCTCTGCTTTCACACGGGGAGACAGACCAAGGCCCCCCTGATGCCACAGGCTCTGGCACCCCCGGGGCATGAGAGCTGTGGGGGGCGCACCTTCAGCTGCAAAGGCCCAGGGAGGGCAGAGCCTGCAGTGCACTTACACGCGGACTCTGGTCGTCTCCTTTGGACTCAATCACACAGTCACCTTACTTCTGGCCTGAAGGCCTCTGAGGCCTTCCACACGTGCACGTACTCTTCAGACCACGGAAACCACCAACGGGATGAGGGACGGGTGAACTGCAGTGGGGCCCACAGACGAGACGACCACTCACAACAATGCAAACACACGCCACGCACACCGCGTGCAGTGCAGAAGTCCGACACAGACTCTCTGGCTCGCTGCACCCAGAGAACATCCCAGCCAGCCCAGCCCCGTGAGTGTGTGTTGTCAGAAAACGGGACAGGTGTTAGCTACCCTCAGGAGGGGGTGTGATGGGGCTTCCGGGCATCGGCTACACAGGCAGAGTCTCTTTGTTAAAGCTCATCACCCTAAATCATTTATGATTTGTACAGTTCTCTTTTCTTTTCTTTCTTTATAACGTTTTACTTAGAGAGAGGGGAAGGGAGGAAGAGAAACACCTATGTGTGGTTGCCTCGCATGAGCCCCTACTGGGGGCCCGGCCCACACACAACCCAGGCATGTGCTCTGACTGGGAATCGAATGGGCGACCCTTTGGTTCGCAGGCTGGCACTCAATCCACTGAGCCACACCAGCCAGGGCTGATTTGCGTAGTTTTCCATATGTACACTCTAATTCAATAAAAACGATTCCACAAATATTTCCTCAGATTAAAAAAAAAATGGTTTCATGCATGCGATGACCTTTTACATAGTCACTTAAGCTAATTTCAGTGCGAAAGGAAAAAGAGAGAAATGACCTACTTTTATGAACTCTACCTTTTTTGCATTGCCTTACTAAGAGAACAGCTGTACCTGAGCCTGTCAGTCCTGCGGCAGGGGGGCAGCATTGGGACATCACTTCGGGGTCAGACGGAGCCTCGGATGGACGAACCCTGGCTCCACCATGCAGCAAGGCGCACGATGCCTCAGCTCCTCAACTATGACGTGAGGACGAGAATGCGTGGGTGGGCCAGGATGTAACTTAGGGGAAAGGGCAGAGCATCTCTCTGTCCACCCATCACAAGCTAATCGCAGATGCTGGAGCTCCTTAGAAGTTCTCTGTGAACTGTGACTGCCGACAGTGGTGGTCCAACACCCTCTGGCACCAAATACCAAGTAGCTACACTGAACTTCATCCTAAATATCTACCCCAATACTTTTAGGAAGCAAACTTCTAAAATAAATACTGTTTTTAAAAAGTCACTCTACCATCATTACTCTGTTGGGAATTCGTATCTTTTGATAGCTTAACTTTGAAGAAAGTAAGATTTCATACAGAGAAATTAATATCCACTCAAACAGACAAGAGAAGGGCTGAGGAAGAGAACACGGTGTATGGTGGGCCTGGCTGACCACCAACTCTGCGTCCACAGACACCACTCAGACCAAGTGGCAAGTCTAATGATGGTTAGTAAATGCCACAACTGCAACTTAACAGTTGTGGTTGTGTGTGTGTTTGTGTGTGTGTGAGAGAGAGAGAGAGAGAGAGACCGAATGCTTCCCAAGCACAGTAAACCCAGCCTCACCTTTAAGTATAGCCAACAAAAATGAGCATCTAAAACATATCTGGAATTATGAATTAAAGATTCATGTTGAGCCCTGGCTGGTGTGGCTCAGTGGATTGAGCATCAGCCTGTGAACTGAAAGGTCGTTGGTCTGATTCCTGCTCAGGGCACATGCCTGGGTTGCAAGCCAGGCCTCCATTTGGGGGCATGTGAGAGGCAACTGATGGATGTTTCCTCTCCCTTTCCTTCTCCCTCCCTTCCCCGCTCTCTAAAAATAAACAAACAAATAAATTATTTTTTAAAAGATTCATGTTGATAATACAAGTTGTCAGATCACAGTTTTTGCCACTGTGGCTTCCTCAGGCAAACATGGCCGAATATTTCCACAAGAAGTCTCAGAGCATCTGCTACTTGAGGGGGTCAGGCCATCTGACACTGGTCAGGTCAGGCCCTTCTCTCGCTGGCAAGGGTCTGTGTCTCTTCGCCTTGGCGCACCTCTGCACGCCTGGCCCAGAGTCTGCATCCCACCCCAGGGAGCACAACCGCAGCACATCGCTGCAGGGTCATGACAAAAGTCTCACAGGATGATGGTTACTGGAGCAACGCCACAAGTGACACTGCCCTTCAAGGGAAAACAATGGTGGGATAATAGAAAAGGTGGGATTAAAAGTACATTTTAGTTTTAATCATGTTGCTTGTTCAGTTTAAAAGCAGTGTGCGTTCAGCTTTCAAGGTGGTCAAGTGTCAGGAAGAACAGTCGCCCTAAAAGGGCTCCCACGAGCTAAAGACAGGACGATTCGAGCACTGAGAAGAGTAACACCTATAATGAGCCGAAACATGTGAAACATACAGAAACATACGGAAATACTAAAAACGCACACACAACAGAAAAAAAACCCCTACTGGTCATCTTTGAAGGGGGTGGTAGGGTGGGAATAACTCTTTATTCATATAACTGATAAGTAAAGGCAAAGAGTGATGCACTTGCCCAGACTTTCCTGTAAGGACTGATTTCCAGGAGAAGTAAATGTTTAAGGGAGAAAGGCTTTTTTTTTAAATTTAAATAAAAGAATTACTAAGAAATGCAAGTGACTGAGTGAAGAACGGGCAATACAGGTAGACATCTCACGGTGCTGCAATGGCAGGTAGAAACCTGGGTACAGAGAGTGCTCTCTACGGCAGGTGAAACCGTGGGTGACACATGAGGGGAACTCGGTAATGGACGGGTCAGCCCAGCAGCACCGAAACCACCGCTGACTATTAACGTCACTCACAGAGTCACTGACGGTGTAGAAGTGCCAGCCCCCACAAAGTGAACCCGAACCTGCTAAAATATCCAGAGCAAACCCCTGGTGCCTGGGAGCCATGTGGGAGGGTGAAGGGAGGGCAGGTGCAATGACACTGTGCATCTTGAGTACACAACTGGGCACAGCGACAGGTGTAAACCCTGGTTTCTTCCATCATGAATGACATTATAAAAATAAAAAAGAAAAGGAAGGGAAATTGTTAACACATTAAAATAGAGTTAAGGGAGCTATCAGCAAATGCAACACTGGACCGTGTTTGAATACTGATTCAATCATGTGGCGCATTCAAAGACATCTAACCAATGATGTTAGGAACTTGGGTTACTTTCTTTGGGTGTGATGATAGAACATTACGTTAAAGAACAAGATTTCCACTGGTCAGAGGTACATTTTGGAGTCTCTCTCTCTCACCCCAAAGCAAAACACACAAAACATCGATAATCTCGCAGCCGAGCACCAGGTGCTGGGGGACCATCACACCATTCTCTCCACTTCTTACTTGAACGGTTCCATAACGAAGTCAGAAATGGTGGAAAGGGGATGACTATGGAAGCTGGGGCATAGAGTTCACTGTCCTATTCTTTGTGTATCTACTTTAAAGATGTGTTTTAAATTTAAAAAAAAAAAAAAAAAAAGCACAGTCAGTCTAAGGCTGCATCTTTAAAGCACTCGGGGACACCCAGGGTCTGGCGGAGGGAACGCCTGCCTGAGTGTGGCTGGCAGGGCACGTGACTGTCTCCAAGATGGACGGCATTGCGAGCACTTCACTGAAAATGTCGTATGGGGGGTCTGAGTGTGGTCTTAAGAGCACCAGCTACAAGACCAGCTCTTGCTTGTTTCCAGCTTCCTGGATGACAACAGACATCCTGAATAGCTCTATTCAGATGTCACCAGCAGCGTGCCCCCTCTCACCTGGCTGGGGCGGCGGCATCTGGTGCTGCACCAGAGGGTAGGGCGGCGGCTGCTGGTGAGGCATCATGCCCGGGTGCCCTGTGGCCCCCAGTGGCGCTAGGCCAGGTGCTCCCGAGTGCTGGTGCCCCTGCGGAGGGTTCTGCCCATGCTGCTGCTCCATTTGCTGGCGGGCTCGCAGTTCCGCGTACTTCAGCTGCTCCATGTGGAAGTTCTGGCGTTCAGTAAGCAGCTGCTGCCTCTGTTGCTCCAACTGTTAAGAAAAGCAAGGGGAAGAGAAATGATACCAGGAGAGGCTCCAACTAAGGAATGCGTGACACCCAGGCCATCACCTGACCCCCCAATTCCCTATTCCTCTCCACAGTAACACAGCCACCTCTCCTTCTGCAATAGGGACAGCGAGAAAAAAAGCATTATTTCTTAAGTAGCATATCTTCCTTTGGATGCCTGTTATTGGGGTCAATGGTCTCTGAGTCAAGTATAAGGTCTGTCTTTCCTTATGACCTTCACTCAGTTGGGCTGTTGTTCTCTGGGTCCAATCAGGATATGTGCATTTTTCTCTATATGACAGGTGTTCAGGTATTTAAGAAGTTTCTATACCCATTCTTATCTTCTCCAGGAGAAACAAGCCCTTCTGTCCTTGTAGGAGTCCCTCAGAGCTAGTATTTCAAGTATCTCAACCTTCCCAGATGCCCTCTTCCAGATGGGACCCTCTGGGTGACTATTTTAGAATGTGACACCAGACTAGTATCTTCTGAATGTGTGGATGTAACCTTAGCTGCAAAGGTATCCGTTTTCTCTGCGGAACTTTGGTAGTGCCTCTGTAAACCCCAGTTTTCAAGTACCCTCAATTATACTGGGTGACAAATTCACAGTGTATTTTAGAAGTCTACATAAAAGTTTGCATTCACCTTGGCCTGAGGAATACAAGCATTTCAACATTCGAGATAATCTTTCTGAAACCTAAATTAAAATACAGAGAAAAACATTATCTTATGTGCCAAGAAATTCAGAAACCATATGTCTGACAGTTCAGAGAATGGAATGCTATCAAAATTAATTCAGGGCTTAAAAAGAGTATCAACATGAAAAAGAAGAGAAATAAAAATCCAGATTTCTGGAAGCAAGTGGAATAAAGATTCTGAAGAGAACTGACATCTATTTCTTTACACTCACGCCCCATCCCGCTGTTTGACAGCGAGACCTGAGCCACCGGGAGGTGCTCCCTAGAGCCGCGGCCCCACCGCCACAGCCCTGCCCACAAGTGGCCCCAAGCACCTGCACTGTGGCTAATGAGGACCTGATGCGCCAGTGGTGTAGAGAACACACTGAATTTCAAAGGCTCAGTATGAAAAAAAATTACATTGAGAATTACATATATGGCTCATGCTATGTTTCTGTTGGTTAGCTCCATTCCACAAGGGACTTAACAGATTAAGCAAATGCGTTGGATTGGACAAAATGGTCATCTTTTTTCTGTACTATGGCTGTAGTAGTACTTAGATGTCTTTTAACTTCATTTGAAACAATTTTGTTAACATTATATCGTGACAACTGTCCTATCAGCGTGCATTTAAAAAAGCTTATCAAAACTGGTGAATTCCGGTGTAGCCATTTTAATACTGAAGATGGGAGATACGCATGCAACATTTTGACTTGCTTTATTATTTCAAGAAAGGTAAAAATGCAAGTGAAATGCAGAAAAAGATTTGTACAGTGTATGGAGAAGGTGCAGTGACTGACTGACTGTGTGAAAAGTGGTTTGCGAAGTTTCCTGGTGCTGCTGACCCTGTGGCCACAGAATTCTTTGCTGGGGGCTGTCTTATGTGTTAGAAGACGTGTAGCAGCACCCCTGGCCTCTACCCACTAGTAATCAATAGCGGAGAGAGCCGACATACTCAACGTAATCAAACCAATAAAGTTACTGGTGAAAATGAAACATGTGTCTTTTATTTTACAGAAAACTAAACAGTCTTTTCTGGCCAACCCAGTAACGCTCTGGCTTCAGGAGTAAGACCAGGTGGGATATGCACAGGAATCAGCCTGAGGACCTGGGCTGCTGGCAGAGAAGTGCCGGGCAACCGTGGGGAGGCACTACTGGTCCGGGGGCGTAGCAGCGAGGGACCGTGCACGGACAGGTGGCGTGCAGGGAGACAGGCCCTGGGCGTGGCATGAGCTCACACGACCAGGTGAGGAAGAGGAGGAGGAGGAAGGACAGAGGTGGTAAGGCTCAGTCCTGGTGCTGGTGGGCTGGCTTTCGGAGAGCCTCCTTAGGGAGGAGATCTGAAACGACTCTGTGAGTGGGTGTGAGTTACCAGGAGGGAGTGAGACCCAGAGCCGTGGGACTCGGGTCAGGCCTGCTGCGTGAAGACGACGCACTGCTACTGGGGGGAGCATGGGTCTTCGAGGGGACACCAGTCTCTGTGTTACCTGTATTACTGTGCAAAAGCCAAACCCGCCTTTCTTCGGAAGCTCATCTTAGTATCAAGGGTAGCTCCCAATACCAGAAGACGTGTAGCAGCACCCCTGGATTGGGTTAACCTTGAGGAAAAATACTCATTTTTCTTGCCTACAAATGAACTAACCCCAATTATACTGTTTTTTTAATGAGATTATTTTGTCATTTCAAAACACAGAAGATAATTAAAAGAAAGTAATTACAAGAATTAAAATTAATGAGTGATTAAATACTCCCCCCGCCACAAAGAGAACCCAGTTTAAGCTCCAATGTGAGGCAAACGGGTCCCCGGAGATAAGAGCGACCGGCTGGCTCCAGGAAGGCCAGCTCCGCTCTGGGGCCGGCAGAGCTGAGTTATGGACACGCCCTGGTGTCGCGCAATAAAGATCCCGGTCTCATGTGGACACCTCACCATTGCTGAACCCAGCTGAAGGTCGCATCCACTTTTGTGGCAATCAGAAAGAATGGGAACCAGGAATTTTTCAGAAGAGCATTACAGTACTGAGAAAATTTTAAATGTGCTTATTAACCAATGACCCAGTGATCCTACATCTAAAAATCCATCCCAGAAAACTGAATGTGTATATAAGAACAGTCATTAAAGTATTATTTTTTGATGTACAATTATTTCTAAGATATACTGAGTGAAATAAAAGAAAAAAGCAAGTTGCAACAATATTTATAACACAACCCCAGTTATACTAAAAAAATTGTGTCCACCTATAAACATATACACACAGAAAATGTTCAGGAAGATAGTAGATTATAAACAGTAATTATTCCTAGGAATAAAACTGAAGGTAGGAGAGACTTTGTAATTTATTCATGTCTTTATTACTTGAAAAAAAGTTTTGATCATACGCACTATTTTTGTCACCAAAAACCAAAATGCTAAAGACTGCCCGAGTTACATGCTGCAGACATTTCCATTTCTTCTCTCCCCTTTCCATTTCCTTAGGACTATGGATAAAGTCCTAACAGGCAAACTGAACAAATTACTCCCCCAAAGCGGGTGTGAATGAATCTGTTCACTCTTTCCTGGCTGCAATCTGGCCCTCGGGACTGGCTGTACACAGAGCTGCCTGTGGCCCTGCTCGAAGACACATCCGCCCATGGCATTCAAACCCTCCTCCGGCCCCCACTCACTCCCACACTAGGAGCCCCAGCGGAACTGAGCTCAACAGAGCACTTCTCTACACGGAGGCACCAAACACAGACACAGCTGCAAGTGCAGCTGAAGTTCACACAAAGCTCTTCTCCTGACTTCATCTGCATAAAGCAGGGTGGCGGGTTGAAAGGAGTAAAAGATGTTAGGGACCACAAATTCCATCCACACTGCTGAGAGGGAACTAACAGCTGAGGCTGGAGGCCTCCAGACTTGGCCTCGGAACAGAAGTAAATAATCACGCCTTCTGCTGAAATGTTTGGTGTCAGTGACCAGACCTCCACTGAGAGCCACCAAATCCTGAAGAGACAGACCTACTCCTTCTCATACCTGTGGGGACAAGACAAACTGTCCCACTGCTTCCACGTGTGCTTCAGGGGCAGAGACCCAAGGGGCAGCAGCACCACTGCTGTGACGGGTCACTGTCCTCGCTGCGGTGTGCTTGCTCCCCGAAGCCGTGCATGTCCTTTGATTCCCAACCAAACCTACTCCCGGGTACAGCTTCTCTCATCTCGGACGGAAATGCCCAGGACGTAACGGTGTGTGTCTGACAACAGAGTTAGTGACATGACAGGCAGCAGAGGGGAGCTACTACAAATACGCAGAAACAGAGTTAAACACAATTCTCCCTCGGCAGAATGAAACTCACTTTTTGGATCCTTATCTTTCTTTCTGAGTTTGTCCCAAGTAATCACAACAAACTCTTCGAACCCTACATCCTACGTATGACGATAACCAGTTAGCAATAACTTTAAAATCTATCCAGAACTTGACCTCTTCTCTCCCCTCAGGGCTGCAGTACCTGGAAGAGCACATGGTTACAACAGCCCCTCACCACGCCACCCGTGTGACTTACCCTCCACAACACGGCAGGTGACTGACCCCTGCTGAAGAGCAGGGGAGACCAGGCCAGCCCTCTGCACTCAGTCCGCATTTCTACCCAGTGCACGCACCAGGCCCGTGATCACTCATTCGAATCTGAGGAAACTGAAGGCCTCGGCTCGGCTCACGGGAACCTCTGGGATTTGGCCACCATCACCTCGGACTCAGTGCTTCCACCTCCTCCGTCTCTGCTGGGGCCCACCCGCCTCCTCCTCAGCTCCCATGCTTCAGTCTCCCCCTGTTTCAGAGGCCCTGTGCAGGCTGCCGCTCACGCTCAGAAGTGCCAGCTCAACTATCAGTTTCTAAACAGGCCCACTCTGCTGCTGACCTTCAAAACTGGAATCCATCCCTTCCCTCCTCCAACGTCCCCTCCCATGCCTGTAACAAACAGGTATGTACAGACACAGAATACAGGGTTTGTCTGGAAACAGTCCAGCCATTGCTAGTATGAGAATGGTTTGGATGACTTGATGTAACTTGGCAACCAAGGAGAGGGGAGTGGAACGCACACGTGTGAACAATGACGACTTCACTGTACTAATCAGTGGGGGTGGTAGACACTGAGTGAGCATGGGTACCACATGGCTGTCACATCCAAAACGAGTGAGCAAGTAGAGCAACGGATCTGCATCCAATTTTGCATTAAGTTTGAACATTCTTCGGTGGAAATTATTCAGATGATTCATAAGGCCGCAGCTATGGGCAACTGGAGATTGGTGGCTTCATCACAACAACATGCCTATTCATG